TGCAATCAACATTCAGTTTCAAATGCAATATTAATATTAATTTATAATAATAAATACTACAACTATTCAGCTCCAATTATTCAAATTTGGATAATATGGATGTAAACCGTGGCGCAGTGACTGGAGCTATAATGAATGGGTTTGGAAGATCAAACTTAAACGAGTTGTTGGTTTCAATTTATTCGCCAGCACTTGCCCAAAATGTTTATGCACAATTAATGATACGATCAAGTAGCGAAATGGTGGAAAGCAGCCGCTGAAGAGAGTATGCAAGAGGCTGCTAAGGAAGAAGCTGCTGAAGCTATTGCATGTGGCGATGTTAAGGACGGTATTCACGTTCTTACTGTCATGGCTGACTGCTGTTTGGTCGAAAAGATCATACAAAACCAACTATTCTGCATCGTCGGGTGTGGTAGCTATTATTGGATACAAAACTGGGAAAATTCTTTAAACGGACGTAAAAAATTTATATTATGTGTAGTTTGTGCCCGAGCAGCAGTCAAAAGTGAACCTCCTGCAGAACATGAGTGTCATAAAATCATACTGGATCTTCAATCAGTATGGAACAAAGCGTCATAGTCGAAGGTATTGAGTGTTCTGTTGCAAGGCAAAACGTGATTTATATGCGGTACAGTAACGCGAACACATTAAAAAAAATATTAGTAAGCAGACCGTATCCCAATTATCAAGTTAATAAAATAGAATGTACCAATCATTTGCTCCGGAATTACAGTGGAAAGATTCTCAATGTGAGCAAAAATACATCCATTCCTCTAAATGAAAGAAAGTTACCGTCGATCGGCAAAAAAGGCTTCGCAAAGCCATCACATGTCATGTGCAATTCGATTTCGAAAAGCGCAAAATTTAACTCTTACTAAGCAGATTAAAAATCTAAAAAAAGATATTTTAAATAGTTCAGTGCATATCTTCGATTACACAACGCCTGTGAGAGTTATTACTGTACAGAAAGCCGGAAAGCTGAAGAGAATTTGGTTCCCAAAGTACTTTCTTTGTTAAATAAAATAATGATTCAGACGGCTCGAGCTCAGATCGCATTTCATTCCAAAAGTTTACTTCATAATTTAACTAACAACAGAGCTTTGTGGCAAAGTAAGTCGGTAGCAAGCGGGTCAATTTTTCGCAAAAAAATCTTAGAAATGATGTCATGCCGCAGTTGACTATTTTAATTTTGCAAAACCTCAGCACGCCCCATTTACAAAACCAAATTTTACAATAATCAAGTGGTACGCTTGGCGGCCACTTATGGCCAATGGCGGCTGCGTAGATGAAGTAAAACGATGTACTATGGTGATATATAACCAGAACTGCGATGGAGAAGTTAAAGAAGGTATGGAAGAATCGCATCATAACCAAATCCACCAAAGTTAGACTGGTGCGAGCGCTTGTATTACCCATTTTTATTTACGCAGCAGAGACATGGAAATTACGCGATTTGGAAACGAGGAAGATAGGTGCTCTAGAGATGTGGTGCTGGAGGAAGATCAATGTGTTTACTGTTCATACTCCAGGAGTTCGGTACAGTCGTAGTACAGTTGCGCATACTGCAATACTTCGGACGTGTCTCAAGGCGGGGTGATAACTCGATAGAGCGACTAGTCGTCCAAGGAAAAGTCGAAGGAACCTATGCGCTGGACCGACCAAGTGAAATCGGCAGTGGGAGACGGCGTATGTGACTGCACCAGACAGTCTACCAACAGAGAGATGGCGGGAGAATATTGAATGTTGAGAAAGTTGAATTGCGAAGTTTAGTTACCTAGTTACAGCATCATCCTTCGGCAAAGTGCGTAAAAGAAGACAAAACATAAGCTCCGCCCCACTAGTAAAAAGTAATTTATATTCTTATTCACTGGATAGTATTAAAGATGCCTTGTTACAGCATCATCCTTCGGCAAAGTGTGTAAAAGAAGACAAAACATAAGCTCCGCCCCACTAGTAAAAAGTCATTTATATTCTTATTCACTGGATAGTATTAAAATTATAAAGCATGGAAAGATCAATGAAGCAAATAGCAATTGCAATACGCTAAATTGAAGAACAACTAATTAACAGTATCGGTAAATGTGGCCTATTCATTGATGAAAACTTCTTTTTTCTGGGAGCTTCACCCGATGGAATTTTTGTGGAAGGACTTATTGAAATAAAATGTCAGATTTCTGCATTCAAAAGAAAATAAAATTCTGGAATTCTATCGGGACTGTCAACTTTCGTCACGAGGGGTTTTATCAAGTTCAAGGACAGTTACATATACCTAGACATACATATACCGAGGAAGAATTACGTTTGCTTCCCATTTGGACGGGAAAAGAATTTCCCTTGAAAATTGAAAAAAAAATAAAACACTCGACACGTTTCCCTTTGGAACAACAAAATGGAAACCAGATTAATAAATTATCATACTGAACGTCTACTACCTGAAATTGTAGACCCGCGAAAGTCCCGGTCGATGCCGTTCAGGTAGATCCTACTAAATTAATCAATTAAAACTTTTTTGAATAAGATTAAGAATATTTTATTCTACCTATTCTATTTTGGACATATTCCACTTTGAACACACGCCCAAATAGCAAATGTACAAATAGCACCTGGCCTATTCCACTTAGAGCATCTATCGATATTTTGGGCAGATGCTATAAGTGGAATTAAATTTATTTTTGCGACGCATTCCACTTAGAGCAGCCACAACACAGCAGCCTAGTGCTGGCTGCAAAAAAACATCGAAATAGCCCTAGTACTTTTGGGGTGAAGTTAATAACTTCCTGTCTATAAAATAAGCCAAGATTTGGCACACGATTTGAGAATTCTGCAACTAAGTCAGAGGTTTACGGGTTTGATCTTTGCACAATACATTTATTGATTGGGTGGGGGGCGTCAATCGCTGTGTTAGTAAAATTATATTTAAATACCTATTGATATCCCGCAGACGGCATTGAGTCGCCTGTTCATTCTGATGGTATACCAGTCCCAGTTGGAGAACCAAAAGGCTAAGTTTTCAAACTGAGTTATCTGCCATCTAAAAAAAATACAGAATCAATGAATTTTTCAGGTTTTAAAAATGAACGACTATTATGATCATATTGGACAGGCTTAAAAAAATAGCTTTGGCGAATATTCAAATTCTTTGTTGTTATACCCTTTTTAGGGCACTAATACCACGGTCTGCAGTAAGCTTCGGACCTGGGTATTTTTGTGATCATAATAGAGTTTCTATTCAATTTTACCTGAAGAAACTCTGACGTGGAGTGGTGTCTGTTCTGATGAAGCTAGGTGTAGTAGTGCCCACGTCCCAAAAGCAAGTTGCGTGGTCAAGAAACAACAGTAGACTGCAAGCTCTATAAAATACCAAGATTTAAGCCCAACAAAAGAAATATTTCCGGATCAGATTTTTCTGAACATGTTCCGGACTCTTAGACCTTTAAGTTCGTCGCACATTTATCAACCCGGAACGGTTTATCTATGTTTGGACTGCAAACATTTAACTACTATCTATCTGGATATTTCTGAACATGTCCGGACTTTTAGACTTTTGTCCGGATCTGTATAGTTAAGTCCGGTTTTTGACATAAATGAATAACTATAGGCATTTTTTAATTGAAGGGTCTGAAGGCTTTTCGTAAGGAATTTTCAAATTTAAATGGTGAGAGACCGATCTTTCCTCAAACAAAAAACAATCACAGTGAAGTAAATATTTGAAAACTTACTTCATGAACATGGTGAAAATTTTACAATAATCAAGTGGTACGCTTGGCGGCCACTTATGGCCAATAGAGCACTATTCTTTTTATGATCAATTGTGTTAAATCTTTGAGAGCAAACCTATCCCGTGTCACAGTCAAAATAATACTACTTTAGCCAAACTCTAAAAGGATGTCACTGCATGCCAAAAATGTGTTTATGCAAAAATTATTATAAACTTTACTCATTGCAAAACTATTGAGAACATTGTTTTGTAAACAAGTGTTTCATCATGTTATAAATACAAGAACAAGTTTAGTATTTCACTCATGCTTAATCAGAGAGTGTACGTATAGTAACATTTTGATGTATTCAGAAGAAATAATAATAGTGCTATATTCACCATGTTTATGAAGTAAGTTTTAAAATTATTCACATCACTGTGATTTTTATTATTTTTCTTTTTGAAGAGAGATCAGTCTCTTACCCTTTAGAATTTAAAAACAATAATACCCTGACACTCCAATAAAAAATAAAAATATCACCTGTAGTTATTAATCCAAGTCAAAAAACGGACAATTGAAACTACGAGTATAGAATTCCGGATAAAGGTCTAAAAGTCCGGAACATGTTCAGAAAAATGTGATCCGAAAATGATTTTTGTTCTGGGCTTAAAATTTGGTATTTTTATAGAGCATGCATTCTCCTATTGTTCCTTGACCACGCAACTTGCTTTTGGGACGTGGGGACTACTACACCTAGCTTCATCAGAACAGACACCACTCCACGGCAGAGCTTCTTCAGGTAACATTGAATAGAAACTCTATTATGATCACAAAAATACCCAAGTTCGAAGCAAACTGCAGACCGCGATGCTAGTGCCCTAAAAAGGGTATAACAACAAAGCATTTGAATTTTTATCGTCAAAGCTATTTTTATGCCTGTCCAATATGATCAAATATCTACTACGAGCCCAAAAAGTCGCAAGCCCGAAACTAATTGCAGACCGCAGTGTTAGTGACTTAACCCTTAAAACGAGCATAGCAAGTTAAAAATTTGCATTGTCTTTGGACCTTTAAAACAAGGTCTGAGGTTAAAACAGTGGTAACATTTATTTAATAATAACATCGTCGCTTTTCTTTATTAAGTGTCATAAAAAATGCATAACATTAAAGAATTTAAATTAAATCAACGGAGCTATTTTCATTCACCTCCGATATAATCATAAAACCACGACCTGACCTAAAAATGCATTGAAATCTAACACACATTTATATTATAAACCTGAAAAATCATTAATTCTTTTTTTTAGATGGCAGATAACTCAGTTCGAAAACTTAGCATTTTGGTTCTCCAACTGGGACTGGTATACTATCAGAATGAACAGGCGATTGAATGCCGTCTGCGGAATATCAATAGGTAGGTATTTCTTAAATATTATTTTGCTCTCAATTTTATTTTTCGTTAGTTCTGTGCAATGACCGAACCTGTAACGTATGACTTCGTAGCATAAATTCTCAAAATGTAAAGTGATAAATCGTTGTGATTTATTTCATTTGTAACTTGTGTTCAGTAAGTATAAAGTTCAAAATTATTACCTGATTCGTACACGAATTCAGATCGTCACTAATTTAATTTGTGATACCCAATGTGATACCGCGCATATTTTCACACTAGTCTGCGAAAAGATCGGTGTGCCATAACAAAACCCAATTCATAACAACTGAAACAGATTTGTAACATATTTTTGTTTCTTTCCATTAATGAAAATGTAGGGCTACTAAATTTTTTGATCTAGCAACGAAATATTAAAAGCTACAAAGCTTTTCAATTACAGTATGTGTTTTTTAGCTCTCTTTGAAGTTTCAAGGACTTGCAAAAGAGTTTAATAGTTTACTACAACTATAGTTACTTTTTTTATTTCGAAAGTTTGTGCATTTTAAAAGTTCCAATTATAAAAGTACGATACTTACTTACTTTTGTAGGTCAGTGTAAATTAGGAATAATACATTATGTCACATAATTATATCCCCCTTCCCAAGAAAAAAAACCTTTTAATCTCGTCAAAAGACTTATGTAGATTAAGATATAAAATTTTAACTAATGCAATCTTTTTCAGACTTTCTGCCACTCGGTACAGCAGCATTGATGAACAGAAGAACACTTATAACGTCGGCAAACTACTTGGAACCATACAGTAACAGGATGAAAGACTTAAGGATATGGTGCTTGGGAAGAGAAGGACTACATACTACTCCGTATAGATACCGGGTACGTACTGAAATAATTTTTTTAAACCGTCAGCTGTTGCAACAAACTGTCTTGTTTTTGAAATCTTTTATTAAGGGCTGATTGATGATTTTATTTTAACTGAAGAATAAGTTTGGCACATTGACAGTTTTAGTACGGGAAAAATGTCAAAATGACAAGGTTATTCTTCAATTAAAAGTTATCTGACGATTGAAAAATCAACCCTTAACTTTACAATGTATTCGTATGGGTCAAATCTTGCAAGCTGAATTAGACTGACCTCCTGACAATCGATTGAGCTAAATATCTATAATAATTTTGTATATCTACACGTGTTTGATTTCATAATTCGGATTACATCCTAGACTACATCCCACTTAACATCAGGTGCGATTGTGGTCAAATACCTGCCTTGTTATGCATGAAAAAAAACAATGAAATAATGATTTCAAGGACCTAGTCTGATGATGGAGCAGGTAGGTGGCGATTGGAACTCTGAGACGAAACAATGAAATCATTTCAAGTATAGGCTCGTTAGTATTGTTTTTAAAGATGATTTTTTTATTAATAATTTCAATTAGGTATGGCGATTTAGAAGATTGTTTCCAAAGAGTCAAAATCCTGAGCATTGGCATGGACCGCGGGGGGTGCACGTGCCTCGTCACGACGTATCCGTGATACACAGCATGGATCAGATCTACATATACTATATCAAATCCGTTAGGTATCATTACCCGTACAGATCGTGGCTCATTGGCAAACATGATGAACTTGATGATCGGCTGTGGTTTGCGGGCTCAGGTTAGTATTTTTATGTATCAACACAACAGTATTAAATTAATTTCTGAAAGATTTATTTCTTACAAGGTGTACCATCTGTAGGTAAATCTGTAAAGGACATCATCCATTTTGGTCCAAAATCAAAAGTGCCGGCCAAAAAATAAAAGTGCTGTATTCTGATACGTCCGCCTTACCATTTATTACTATGGCACCAAAGCTGTAGCACCACTGTGCATCGTAGTATTTGAGTTCTAAAAATTATATGAAACGACTGACTTTGATCTCAAATACTACGACGCACAGTGGTGCTACAGCTTTGGTGTCATAGTAACAAATGCTAAGGCGGACGTATTCTGTCAGAATACAGCACTTTTTTTTATTGGCCGACATTTTTGATTTTGAACAAAAAATGTATGAATCGTCGATGAATTTTAGATCTCAAATACTCGACGCACAGTGGTGCTACAGCTTTGGTGCCATAGTAACAAATGCTAAGGCGGACGTATTCTGTCAGAAGACAGCACTTTTTTTATTGGCCGACACTTTTGATTTTGAACAAAAAATGTATGAATCGTCGATGAATTTTAGATCTCAAATACTCGACGCATAATGGTGCTACAGCTTTGGTGCCATAGTAACAAATGCTAAGGCGGACGTATTCTGTCAGAATACAGCACTTTTTTTTTTATTGGCCGACACTTTTGATTTTGAACAAAAAATGTATGAATAGTCGATGACTTTTAGATCTCAAATACTCGACGCACAGTGGAGCTACGGCTTTGGTGCCATAGTAACAAATGCTAAGGCAAACGTATTCTGTCAGAATACAGCACTTTTTTTTGTTGGCGCCGGCACTTTTGATTTTGGACCAAAAATATATGAAACGTGGATGATGTCCTTTTGCTGCGTATTTCTCACTTAATCAGAGTGTCGTGCTAATACTAATAACGAGGTCGTGGTTTTGATCCCCTCATGGCCCATCCTTTGTACTTTTGGTACAGAGGTACCATGATGTTGGACTATGACGTATAAGCATGGTGAGGTACTTTTGAAGATATTGAAGAACCTTTTACCAAATAACTGACTGAAAAATTGCAATGGAGCTGCTTTGTATACGAGGCGAAAATTATTGTAATAATGATAAACTTCAGTCAATGTAATTTGTGTGATTGTGAGTTTTCATGTTTGCATTCACAGGATACGAGTACCTTGAGCATATAGCAGAAAACTACAAGATATTCTTCGCTAACCAAACAAAGGACGAAATCGTGGATTGTTCAAAATACCTTCCGAAGTGGTGGGGCAAGTTCATATGTATCAGGAACAGCCACGGATTTTCTGGTGTACCCAACGGTGGTGGACTTTATACGATATATGGAGATGAAGACTATCTTACTGGAGTTGGGTGTTTTGAGATAAGGTTTATATTTATTTGCTATATGTATAATTTCGAAGATGTCGCGAAAGGCGATTAAGGTACTTTCTCTCTTTCTCAACCCTGGCCAGCCGTGGGAAGTTTAGGTCAACTCCACCATTTGCCTCTGATGAATTAGAAAGGTCTTGCTCCTTTAGTGGAGAATCAGTGACCTGATGATGATGATGAGGAATATTATAACTATTTTAGTTTGTATTATGGAACGACGCCTAAATTAATAATTAATTATGGATGTAAACCTGCAACTGACCTAAATATTTCAAATGTTCAAATCATATTTTTCATTATTTTATTACTTTACCGCTGATTTATTATTGTTTCTTTTTTTTTTCTTCAGATATAACGAAGACCGGATACTGGTGTTCACAGATCTTAGGTATTATGTTGATTGGATTAATATATTTGCCAACATATCAAGAGGAGAATACTATGAATACGCCTACCCTGAATGGAGCATTAACTTGGGACTGCTTTACGATGGAGGAGTAAATTATCCATACATTCCGATGTGGCAGATTCAGAACGATATGTTCCCTCTTGGGAGGAAAAAAAAGTGATTTTGAGACATCTAACACCTCGGTTCTCGTCACTAACTTTTCGTAGATCGTTACAACCACACAGTAAACTGTACCCTTAATGTAATTCCCATACCATTGAAATCTCTGGAAAGAAAATTGAAGTGAGTGGGTACGAGTAATGTAGCGTCACTAAACCAGCTTACACTTCTACTGTGATTGCCAAGTTGTGATGGCACAATTACGAGCTTTCGTTTCAAATGTTTATTCTATCTGCCATATTTGAAAGGAAATGTAGACTTAAACAGTTTTAAGTCTACATTTCCTTTCAATTTCAATTCTTTTTGATTTTTGTTCAAAAATCAATAAATATAATTTTGCATGATCGTATTACCGGAATTACTGTGTACCTATGTTACGTGCAATGCTAATAAAATCTAATAAAATCGAATTTATCTTTTTTACTTAAATTGGCACTAACTTAAAAATTATATAGGTACCTACCTACATAGTTACGTTTGGTATCTTGTACTTATAGATGAAACAACCAATTGATTAAAAATGAAATTATCCAAAACATAATCTAATAATAATAGTTTTTCTTTAAATACACCTACTCACGCCTTAATATTTAACAAAACATTTAATACAAAAGCATTTAATCTCTCCGTTTAAAAGAATTCTTTATGAAAGTTAGCTTTCAAGAGAAAAACATGACTTTCTTTTCTAAACAGTACCTATCTTAGCGGAGCTTTAATAGATCCGATTATTGTTGATACCCCATCTCAGCTACAACGAAATTGTTTCATTCAATTATTATGCGGACTCTGTGACAGTATGGCGGCCTAATGGCTTTGACGTAGATTGCCGTAGTGGACAATTGAAGTGGCAAAATGACAGGATGCACAAAGTGAATTCACAGTGACTTGTAAGACCTAAGACCTCGCGATAAATCACAGGTCAAAAGGTAGTACCTAAATGATTGAAAAAGGAAGGTAGAAAGGATTCAATTTCCCTGCAATTCCCAAAAATTCCGCTCCTTGAGAAAGCTCCACGAACCAACATCTAGCAAACCGATACAACCAACGATCGAAACAACCAAATCGACAATGCGAGACAACTATTGTATATAGATGTAAATGGTGTCAAAATTTTCAAATTTTTTATTTCATATGTTCTATACTTTAAGATGTATACTAGGAAGACACTGGCTCCTGAAATTATAGTTTTATAAAATGTCACAATGTTACATCAATAAAGATTTATATTTCTACATTTTCTACATGAACCCAGAAGCAACGATCGAAAGCGAAAGAAATAAAATATGTTTGGTGTTTTTCGAATTAATTCAAAAAATCAATACCAAAATACGTCATTATGACACATAGCTCACGAGATCACACACATCAATGCTCCTGAACCAAGAGCATGATTACGTTCGTTGGAGCATGGGTGTGTATGCTGATTGAAAAAATAAAAATTCTGATTGGAACGAGGATATCCCGCGGGATTCCTTTAATATTACTCCATGGTAAATATTTTTGAGGGAAATGCGTTAAATGCCTTCACTGAACCATTTGCCAGATGGAGAGATTGGTAGTTCAGGGCAAGGTGGAAGGCAAGAGAGCACGCGGTCGATCGCCAACCCGCTGGATAGACGCCATCACAAAGGCTACTGAGTCCATCATGATCCAGTGTACTCGCGACGCCTCTAACCGTCAGAAATGGAAGCACATCGCAAGGAGAGCTACTCTCGGAGATGACACGAACACCCCACCATCTTCATAATAATATGTTTTTTTTAACAATCATTTTAAATCATTAAAAAAATATTTCTTATTGAAATATGTTTAACTCAAAATTCTATGGTAAGTAATNACTAATAATTCTAAATATGTAAAAGCTGTAATTGTTATAGTCTAACTATTGTATTTGTATTTGGGGACATAGTGTGGTGCTTTACAAGTAGCAAATTTAAGACGTTATTGTTAAATTTGAGGAGGAGTGTTGAAATACATAAAGCACAACACTATGATCGTCAATTGATTTGCACTTCACTAGTGTCAAAAATTTTTCCTCTTCTCTCTGGTCGCGCCGAGCGTCCCACCGGTGTTAATTTGTATTAATATAAAATGTGCTGAAATAAAAGCAAGTTGATCTACAAACAGTTTATCATTATTCTCAATAAAGTATGTAATCTGTAAGTCTAGATATTAGCATGTCACTACCTTGTTTAATATACCACGCAATTTCGTATACCCATTATGAGATACACTATACAAGAATGCATGGTAAATTAAGTGAACTGCTCCTGAATCGAATGTACCTACTACTGCTATTTCTATTTATTTATATTAACCGGCAGACAGTGGTGACTGAGTTTGTTGCGGCGCTTCTTCTCAGCACTTGCCAAAATTAAATGTTGGTCTCGAAGCGCTGGTAGGGTAGAAAGATTATGAGACATGTAGAGGCTCCTTAAGAGCAATATGACGATTTGTAAGAACTATTTATTAGTCTAAACAAATAAAGAAATTTTGACTAAAATCCGCCTTAAATGTAATAATTTATTATTTCTGTTTTGCCCCTTTTATTCAACAGCAGTCTTAAGGAAAACGAAGAAATAAGGTTAAAACATTATTTTATTTCGACGTCATTGTAAATAGGTAAGAAAAAAGTTAGTGTTTCAAAGCTGTAAATACTTCTTTAATTGCTATAGATTTTTCCAAAAAACTGTGTTTGTTCATAATATAGTGCAAGCAGGAAAGGAACACGAAAAACACCAAGATGCAGGAATTTGGCAAAATACCTCACTTATTAAGAGAACGCTTATTCGCTGATCCCCAAACATCTCATTTTAATAAAGGCCTGTCTATTCCCCATCTTAATTCCTCGCCTCTATAGAAGTTCTGAACAAAGGGTCTGTCTGTGTGAAATATAGTCGCTCCATTGTCCAGCCGTTTGATATATTGACTCCTATCTCTGGAATAGTATGAATTATGCCTTGAAAAGAATCGACGTTTCTTGGATTTTTGGAATTCCGTAGCCAAATGGCAAAATAAGTTGCCCTTATAGATTCGTAATGTCTGTCTGTTCGTATGTCACAGCTACTTTTTTCCTAAACTATAAGAGCTATACTGTTGAAACTTGGCATGTAGATGTATTATGTGAACCGCATTAAGATTTTTACACAAAAATAGAAAAAAAAAATTGCGAGAGACACTTCCAAAGTGGTAAAATGTGTATATGTGTGTGTGTGGGTGTGTGTGTGTGTGGGTGTGTGTGTGTGTGGGTGTGTGTGTGTCTTCTTACTTCTAAACTAAGAATGATAAAACTAAAAAAAAAATATAATGTACATTATCATCAAAACTACCAACGACAATTGGTTTGAACGAGTAAGTAGATTTTTTAAATAAATTTTAAATTTTTAAAGTTACTACTTCTTTCCTCATGAACGCGTAGAGATATTAAATTTAAATTCATTTCAAATACACAGCTATGTACCTTAAAGCTGTAACAAAATCAAAGTTATATACTCGGACTTACGGACTCGCACACCTAGGGTTCCGTACAAACCTGTTGTACGGAACCCTCGGTGCGCACATCCGACTCGCACTTGGCTAATTTTCTGCAATGAATTAGCCGTAGTTGGTGATAGCTGAGTCTTAGTACACAGTCGTTGGGATCATTTATCAACGAGTTGAATGCCGAAAAACTGGATAGAGGAACTATTTTTTGGTGTTACGGAAATAACTCGACCTTCGGTGGGAGTAAGCACATTAATTGTATTTGCTGTTACAAAAATAACTCGATATTGAATGATACGATTTTTTCACGAAACCCTAAATTTGTTTCTGTTAAGCTTACATAATTTTGTTTGTTAACTTAATGTCTTTGAAAGAAGCACCTGATTCACACAGGCTTTTTTTGTGTGAATTTTTATTTAACAACCGGTCAAAAGCACTTGCGACCATGGAACGTAGTGTGGGCAGGCCCCCCACTAGGTGGACCGACGATCTCGTGAGGGTCGCGGGAGGTGCCTGGCGTACGACCGATTGTTGTAGACATCCTTGGGGAAGGCCTTTGTCCAGCAGTGGAAGTCATTTGTCGTTTGGCTGAAACGAGATTAGAACAAACAAAATTAATTCCTGATTAAGAAATACCTTTGAAGAATGTTTGGGTTGTATGTAGTTATATGCATGCTATGGTTAATGGTTAAAAGGTAATATAACGTAATAGTACGTCCTTATTGTCGATCTTCTGCACACTCTGGTCCAAAATGAATCAACATTTTTTCCATGATTTTATTTCTGAAGCTCTGTCATACAATAAAAAGAACATAGCGTTATCTACACTGACAAAAACAGGCCCCACTACAAAACGTTGTAAGTTGCAAGCCTCGACAAATCGCGACTCGAGAGCCGTCTCAAATATTATTTCTGTATCATCGCAAGCGTAAACAACTCCTTGACTTGAGTGAACATTGGCCCTACCACAGAATTTTGGATTTTTTACTTAGGCTCTTTTACGTTGCACCCACAATCGTGCGAGTTTTTTCCGGCAAAAGTTCCGGTAACTGACTTACGACTGCATCACGCGTTTCTTCGTCTTTTTGTCCGTGCGTTGCCCGAAATCTTACTGCTCACACTGCTCAATAACCACGGACAAAATATTTGTAGTATTTAGTCCTACCAATATTTTTATGGGTGATATGGTTTTTTAAGGGTAGCTGTAGTTGATACCACGATAAACTAGTGTTCAAATATACTCCACGTAATTATTACTTATCTGTGTTATTACTTAATTAAAATGCTGCGCAAAAATATATATTTTTCCAAAAGCTAAAGACTTTAAACAACTGCTGTATTGTTAGAAGTTTAAGTAAATAATTTAGTACCACTTCAAGGAGTCTTTTAACATTTTTATATTTATCTTGTTGTATAGTTAACTCCTCACGCCTGGTCAGACAGGTTTTTTTTATGTGACAGGAGGCAAACGAGCCGACGGATCACCTGATGGTAAGTGATTGCCGTCGCCCATAGACA